ACCTAGGAGAATGGTGCCTTAGTCCCCTTCAAAGTACTCCCCTTGGGACCTCACACACTTCTCCCAGCGTCCCTTCCACTTTTCAAAACAGTCTGCAAAGTCCTCTTTCGGGATCTTCATCAGCTGCCTCGTCGCATTCTCCTTAATCTCGTCCATGGTTTGAAATCTCCTCCCTTTCAACGGCGATTTTAGCTTTGAGAAAAGCCAGAAGTCGCAGGGAGCCAAATCTGGGCTGTAGGGGGGCTGAGAGACCTGGGTGATGCGATGTTTTGCCAAAAAAACCTGCACGAGACGTGAAGAATGGGCAGGCGCGTTGTCATGATGAAGCTGCCAGTCACCACTTGCCCACAGCTGGAGTCGTTTTCTTCTTACCGCATCCCTCAGGCGGCGAAGAACTTCGATGTAGTACTCCTTCGTTATTGTTTAGTCATTGTAAATGCGACAGTCACACAGTACCCACGTTCACTCAACAGCGTCTGCTGGGCAACTGAGTTGTCCCACGGGAGTGTGGCTGTTCATGCATGCGCAGTATGGTCCTCTCTGAGTGGCTGCCAAGTTACATCAAGGCCGCGCGACCAGTTCTCACATTATTCACAATGACTGGATACTTTCTGGACAGACCTCGTACAGTAGTGCACTAAGGTTGTATATGTTGCTTTTCGCGGATTTGCCTATTCACACCATTCCTTGGAACCTAACCTCCGTGAATAACAAGGGATTGCTGTATTGTATTTGTTTTTACCCCATAATTTGTACCAGAAGGTACACAAATTCATGTGCCTTAGACCTCTCAGACCATGCTATCACAGTAAATAAGAGGTTAAGGTTATTATATTCTGATTAAATATCTTGGTGGTGGCAGCTGTTTATTATTCAGTAAGTACTGAAAGAATGTTCAAGAATGTACAGTAAAAATGGGTTTCCCAGATATGCCCAACAGAATATAAGTAAATATCCTTACAAAAGAATAACACAGTAAGACACTAAAGTAATAAATAAGATGATATAAAAAGAAAGAACCCCTTACAAAAGGTATTCAGCAGGTGGGATCTATCATAATAATTCCCTCCCTTCATTTCAGGACGTACTGTAATGAGTATTTTCCAGGTATATTTTATATACGAGGCGTTTAGCATATGAGCGAAGTGGCCAAATTATTGTGTTGAGTAATCAGTCTTCTGTGGAGTCACATATCCATTCCACCCCTCATTACTAATGGTAATTTACATATGGTTAAGGACAAACTTCTACTCAGGAGACCTCACCATAACACAGAAAAATGACTGAAAATTTCTAGTTTAATAGTATTTTTTTTTTTTGGTGTGTGTGTGTGTGTGTGTGTGTGTGTGTGTGTGTGTGTGTGTGTGTGTGTGTGTGTGTGTGTGTGTGTGTGTGTAATATATATTTTCTTTAATCTACCCAAATTCTGGGCTTATTTTCGAGGACCCGTAATGTAACATTATTTTCCATGGACAACTATGATTTATAAATTACAAATTTTTAATCTGTGGGGGAGTGGTTGAACCTAACCCTGCAAATTTGAAGATTTTTTGGTCACAAACAAATGTACAGTAATATCTCCATTAGCTGGCTTTGGGAAAGATTTTCCGAGGGGCACATTTCTCTAAAAATTTGGAGAAAATTTTCCCAATACCCGGAAAATTCCAGGGAGGGGGAATATTTTTCCGGGTTCGAGAGATGATGTAATGGGCAATTTCTGGAACTTCCGAGAAAATTTTTCCGTTATCTGGGATGGGGGATATTTTTCAGGGTTCGAGAGATGAAGTAATTGGGCAATTTTTGGAACTTCTGAGAACAAATTCCCGGGATGAGGAATTTTTTTTCCTGATTTAGGGTGTCATCTCATTACCAGGAAATCTCTCATTACTGGAAGTGCTCTGCACCAATTGTTCCAACTGACAGAGATATCACTGTACTCTTATACAAAGCCACATACTGTAATCCTTTACATACAATCACTATTACATACACCCATACTTTTATATATACACACACACAGACTCCTTCACTTAATCACTCTCTCTCACTCATTTTTTCATGCATTGATGGTTGCACACATAGGTATATGTGCATATTCTTGCATAAAGATGCACACTCTCTAACAAAGAGACACTCTTACCCACATTCTTATGGACAAAATAGGTCACTACAAAATAAGATACAGTACAGCGGTTAGTCTGCAATAAATGGTGCAATTTACAGTCCTTGATTCATGAACCATGACTTGCAGTGCTCCGCTTTCCATGAAAATACTATACATACAGTACTTGGTTAACATAATTGGTAATAAAACAATTTCCTGTTATGTCAGCCATCTTACAACACCACTTTGACTGAAAACATTTTCCAAATAGTAGTGTTCACTAATATAACCCCATGGATGCCAGTGTGCACAGTATATTGTGACAATTTAAACAATCACATTTAAGAGCATAGTGACAAAAGATATACAGTACTGTACATCATTTGTAGTACATGTCATCTGATTCACATAGATTTATCACCTTCATTGATATTTAATTTTTTTTTTAGAAATTTCCCAAGAAAGTGACAAAAAATTGAGAGAAAGTAAAAGACCAATCATTAAATGCACCCTAAATAGCCTATCGATCAACCTGCAAAACAAGTGTACTCGTGCTACAATATCCTACCATATTGTAAATTAATAATATAAGTTACAGATAATATAAAAAAACATAAACTCTCAATTTTTTTAACAGAAAGCAGTGCATTTGATAATGATAGCATTAGAAAAATGAGATTCAACAATCTATCTTTTGAATAGTTCATAAAGCACCTTATACTGCACGTACTTTCAAGATAGGTTTCCAAAAACTTTCATACCAAAGTGGAGACGAATTAAAAAAAGGTGTGCCATACACTATATGCAAATAGTGAAACATTTCCAAACTCAAGGTTTTGGATATACAATTAATGAAAATCTCTTGTGAAATGACAATATTGAACAATGCTGCAAGAAACAACAGGGGAGGATCAAGAGAAAATAAAGGAAAGCCCATGTGCAACTGATACTCTAACCAGAATATGTTCAAATCAAATACTGTACTGTATAAATAATGACATTTGTTTAAATTGAGTATTAATTAACAGAAAACATATACAGTACAGTTGCTCATTAAGATGCACAGTATTAAGGACTACAAAAGCTTGTGTTAATACGAAATGCTTTAAACACATATACTGTAGCCATTGTTATTAGTTTCAATGGGAAATAGGAACTGGAAACTGAAAGATGAAATGTAAGACACAAAATGCTCAAAAAGTATGTTAATCACAAGTAAATGCTATTAAGTTTGTCGAAAAAAATTTAATGTTTGAATGCATAAAAAATACTGTACAGAGTAAATATACATACGGTAATAAAACTGGGATAATAATACTGTATGTGGCAATACATTTGCCGGTGATGCTGGGCTATTGGCGAATGTCTGGTCTAGTTCTGTCCTCCACCGCATTATCCCTTACTGCCACATCCCATGTTGCTTCCTCCCTTGTTGTTGGGTTTGATCGTAAAAATAACAAGAAATTAACTAGCAAAAGGTGATACATATCCCACGAGGCATAGAACACCATGATAATCAGATACCGTTATGTTGTCTCAGCTCACCAGACATCCAAGCTAAATTAGCCTGCCGCTGATGTCACCTCAGAGGACTGTATAGAAAACAATTCTATGAGTGCACTCAACTGGCTGGCTGCTCAGCCAATGATAAAGCAAGACCAGCCTGACTCAAAAATGATAATCTCTGCTAGATTACCGGATACTCAGAATTCTGTTGGTAGAGAACTGATGCACTAGGTGGGGAATCTTTCCACAGTTCACCACCGCTCAGCTTGGCTCACATTAATTCATATTACAGTAGTTGGTGTTAAAAAGTGGCTCTACTGTAGTATCATGGTGAATGTCACTAAGAAATTAAGGATGTCAATAGAAATAACTTTGTAGTATTTCTTACCTTATACACATGTCTCTCAAGAGAGGCAATCCAGATATTATCACTATGGAATCACTAACAAAACTGTACAGCACTAGTTTACTGAAAAAAGGCCTATTGAATTACAGTCTGATCTATGACCGTATTATACCCCCTGTAGTAGGTGTTGGGGAGTTTGACACTTCCACTGGCAGCAGTCTGGAAGGCCTCATATCTAGGGTGCACAGTGGATAAACGTTAAGAGTGAGTTGGCCCCTGGCAGCATTTACTGGGATTAATCTGACATGAATAACAAGCAAAGCAGCCTCCAATCTTTGTTCTACTACTACTACAGTACTAAAACACACATACACAGCAGCATCCCTACAGAAATGGCAAACATCTGTAGACATACAGAATATTTGTACAGGTTTCATAAATACAATTTAAAAAGGTTTTGGTAGTTATAGAAAACATCTACTTATAGTATAATACACGCAGAGAATAATACATGCGGTGGATATTTACAAACCTACAGTACAGTACTGTATATCTTCTGAGTTGTTTCATTTCATTTCTGAATTCTTCCACACCAAAAAAATAAAATACAGTACATCTAGGTATATGTCACTGATATCTTCCATGGTTAGCACTATCAAGGTTTGTGTACTGGTGAGCAAGATCCATATACATCTTACCCGATTATTTCAGTTTCTGAGCATCAAGTCTCCCCCACTCCCTTAAAATGAAGGATTGTACAGTACCTGAAATCCAATTTAATAGCAGAGCCCACAGGCTGCTAACTGGGGTACAAGGTATTAAGTTTTATTTAAAGTCAACAAGACACAGGTGTGGGCATACTGGATGAAGGTACATTCTTTCTATTAAAATGAAAATTACAAAAAAAGAAACAGCACAATCAATGTCTCAACTGTAAATACTAAACCTTTATCTTTACCATTTGCTGCTTTATTATACTGTGCCTACCATCCCATTATTGTCTCCAACTTCTTACCCTTTCCCTGATCATGAAGATGAACTTACTGCATCAGGGAGTGAGTCGCTGGATCCCCAGGCTCGATGCAATCTGGCTTCAACATCACGGGATATCAAATTGTTAAGGGCTTCAGTCGTCTTCCGCACCTTCACGTTCAGGGACCCGATGCGCAGAAAACCAGCCGCCTCTTTTACTGTGGAGACAATATCATGGTCACAGAGGGCATGTAAGGTCATCCAACACCACAAAAATAGGATAATAATAGAGGTTAAATAATTAATAGTTCAAGTAAGAAATTGGAAAATACAAGACCTACTGTATATGACTTTTAACAGATTAATGTAACTTAAGAATATTTTCATAAACACTGAGAAGAGACAAACATAATCATCATAAAAACTGAGGAAAGCACTGCCTCTCACCAGTGGTCTTGGGTTAAATCCCTAGGTCAAATTAGAGAAGGTTGCAATACAGTGTGAGTGACCGTACCAAACATTGCAGGTTTTCTCCGGGTACTCCGGTTGCCTCCTGTACTAACAAAATAACAATGGACCATGTAGGTTATAACTAAGAACAGAATGACTGCTTAAAGGGTTAGTAAGCTGACAAGTGGTAGAAATGATAAATTATTTAAACAAGTATATCCTAGAGATATAATGTAAATGATAACAATCAGGTACAAGGATAGAGTAATTTGACAGTGAAAAGAAAGTACAATATACAGTACATATATTATACATAAAGAGTTGCTTGAAGATTGGGAATGAAGATGAATTTACAACTTGACAAATAATTTTTAAGGTGAATAATAAGAAAATATAATGTAAAGGCTATTTTGAAAACATCATGACAACCCAAGAAGTAAAATTACTAACAAGAACACCCCACATACACTATGTACATATGGACTGAAGAAAACTATACAGTACCAAGAATAAAGTTTACTATACAGCACAGATATTTTACTGTAGTGATGTTCCTGAATGAGATTAAAAACCTTTTTAGAGAAGTAAATGTAATGAGATAATTTGTTTATTATAAAGTACTGTATCAGCACCATGGATATATAGTAACCTGTATGCTGAGTGAAAGAACATTCAAATAGACTACAGAGAATCTACGCTGAATGGATTAACACATCAAATACAGTTATGACAAAACCAACTTTTGTAGATAATTATAACAGTTCTTGTAGTGTATAATGAATTAGACTGTGGCCCAAAACAACATTCACTTCAGTTATAATCAACTACAGATACGTGTATTGTACTCTGGAATATTGTCATGCAATTACAGACAGTACTACTCAAGTGTAGTCAATATGCAAAAAAAATTAAATATAAACTAAGCACACCAAGTACTACAGTATAATCACACACTAACACATACTTAGGACTATACAGTATTGTACTCACACTCAATAACAATAATACCAAAAAAAAAGACTGCATATCAATGACATAAAAATAAAAATAAACCTAAATAAACATATGAAACATACAACACACCAAAAAAATACCCAGCAGACAGCTGATCCATCACCACAAGTCAAAACAAAACTGTTGCAACACATATTAAAGTCATGCATAATGCTGAAAGAAAATGAAATTCCAGAAATTATATTGAGAAATAAATCTGTAAATTATGAAATTGAAAAACAATTGTGGCTAACTAGAAGATAAATACAAGACTAGCAGGTGCAGGCTTGACACACAATAAAGTCATGGGTGATGAGGGGCAGCACACAACCAAGCCATGGCTGCTACCTGTCTGAAGATTACTGCCGCCACAGCCTCGCCCAGACTGTGGCGCCTCGAGCTGCTGCTGCCTTGACTCCAACATGTCTTACGCTGATGGTGACGGCGATGGTGACGGTGTCGATGCAGTTGCTCTGAAGGTGGGGCAGCAACATGGATGTGGTGGTCATAGAGGGAACAAGTGAAGTGGAAGCAACATGCACACCATCAGATTAGTTGTTAATATCATCAATGGTGACACAACACTGGGTAAGGGTCATGTCTAGAATATCCTGGAGTATCACCTGTACCTGGTGGCTTTGTGGGACACAGCTGTATGTGTTTATTATACAGTAGAATGAGTTAGACTTCAAATATTGGTAGAGGTGACAGAAGAGGGAGTGAAGGTTGGGCTTGCCAAGAAATGTTTCATGAGATTCACTATTATGGTCAGGTAGTGAACTGGGAGCACACATTTTTGTTTTAACACCTGCGAACTGGTGATGAATACATTGTCATTGCCTTTGTAAATGACAGTGTAGGTGCTCTGTCTTTATTACTAATATTATAGATTCTTCATTTATAAACAAATTCACATAAAAGAGAACAAGACAAAATTCAGATGTCTGTAAACATACGCTCATCGCTAAGCAGCAGCTTGCAGCACAGAGTTCACCTCTGCGGTAAAGGACAAGTGGCACGCCGAGTGTTAAAATGTGCAGTGCCTGACATTCACAGTCAAGTCCATTTTATGTTTGTGACTGCATATCCATCCATCTTTTATCAAGCATTTCTGGTTAAAGATTACTACAGGTACACAGAACAGTATATTGTAACCAGCTCTTATGAGGTTGACACTTAAATTCACAAAAAGTCTACGTGAGATACTTGAGTACACATTGGAATTTTAATTTCTTGTAATCAATGATTCCCTAAGTGCGATGATTTTCCGTGAAGTTTCCTAAATTGCCGAGTATAGATAAAGTATTTATATTGAAATTGTACTCTACAGTACAGTGTATATGCTGCATATTTATACAAGGGTTGTTCAATTAATACTGAGACTAGTTCAAAACTGGAGACTAGCCAGTTGATCCATTGTTTCAGGTGATCATCCAGTCTCACTAAAGTACAGCATTTGTAGAAGTATAACAAGCCTGTTGCTAAATTTTGTCCCTAAAGACTTATTTGTAATAATCTTTAACTGTTGAAAAAACCTATTTAACTCCACTACTATGATGCAAACTTTGACTGTGTAACATTTTCCTGAGACAAGATAATCCATAACTCCTTAAAGATGATTAAAAATTATGAGTTAGAAAACTAACAAACTCAGTTCCAGTGTCCAACTCAAGACAGTCACTGAAATTTTGATGGAGAAGTGCAGATTTCTCCCAATGCAGAGTAACTTCTTTTTTGCCAAAACTCCCTGTCAAACTTTGATTATCACAATTAACCTCCCTCAGTCACGACCCGGAATAAGCCAGTCATCTAAATGGACGAGACAGACCATTCCTTTCCTATACAATACATTAAGATTAATTAAACTAGGTTCTCTGAGCCATTTACAACCTGAATGTCAGCCAAAGGTCTCTCTAAAGCACTCTCTTACCTACGTACTAAATACTATTGATATTCAACATGGAGCTTGAAATAGATACAGCCATTAAGGTAAAGAATGTCTATGACCCTATATAGTCTTCAGCATATGAATCAATCTAGACACGAGTTGATTGATACTATATCATCAGATCGTGTTGTGACCTGAGATGAATTGTAGTACTGTATCACCACTATGTAGGTCATAGTGTTAATACAGTAGACACATGACTCTTAAAGGTACAATGGAAATACAGTCCCAAACAGAGTTGTTGGAGCAGTGTATTACTAACCTTGCTACTCTCTTATAGACCTTCATTGTTGGAGCGTAGTAATAAAATTATAACAACAGTACAGTTACAAGAAAAGCAAAACTCGGATCACCTGAAGAATAAATCCCATAATCTATTTCCCCTTAATATGAACATCCTAATGTTAACCTAACATAATATTTTGACTACTTTTATCCTCTTCGCCACTGATCGGCTCGTCAGCCACTTTGGCGCTAGTCACGTCTCTGTTATGCACTGTTGGCATGTACAGTATTGGGCATGCACTGGTTCCTGAATGTATCTGAACCTGCTCCAGTGTTGGTCAAGTCTGGTCTCACACTTGGTGCCATCACAACACTCTGGCAGGTTCCAAGAGTTCACAATTCTCACTCCAAAAAAGTTTACCCTCACAGTTTTTTGGACTTGTGGCTTCTTCAACCTTGAGCTGTGATGTTAGGGTGGTTAATCATCAGGTGATGTAAAGGGGGGGGTGGGGGTGCAATCTTCAGAAGATTCCAAAATTTATTCAACATGCCAGTGGGGTAATGCATTTAATTAAAATAATAATAATAATAAAAAATATCAAAAATAATAATAATGCCACTGCATACCCTGAGGATAATATAGAATTCCATTCCAGAAATTATTATTCCCATGTACAGTACAAAAACATCGTTGAAAATGTTCAAAGGAGGGCCACTAAACTGGTGCCTATGCTTTGGCACCTCAACTACCCTAAAACATTGGAAAGCCCGAACTTGCCTAGCTTATACTACAGACAGGCAAGGGGGCAACCTAAATGAGGTGTATAAGCATCTCAAGGGGCACTACTCAGTCGAGTATCCTTACTTGGAGCTGGCGGACGCTCGTCCCACAAGGGGTCACAGCTCAAGATTGAAGAAGCCGCAGGTCCAGAAAACTGTGAGGGCAAATTTTTTCGGAGTGAGAGTTGTGAACTCTTGGAACAATCTGCCAGAAAGTGTGACAGCACCGAGTGTAAGCTCTTTCAAGACCAGAGTTAACCAACACTGGAGCAGGGTCAGGTACATTCAGGAGCCAGTGCAAGCCCAGTACTTGCCAACAGTGCGTAACAGAAGTGACTGATCGCCCAAGCGGCTAACGAGTCGTTCATTGGTGAAGAGGATAAAAGCAAAAAAAAGAGTGTAGGTGTCGATCCGATTTGATCGGGACTTCAGCAGAGCGCAGTGGAGTGTTTTGAAATACGTCAATATAGGCGTTTATTGTAAGGTGTTTTAGATGCACAGAATACCAGGTAGCTAACGCGTTAGCTATTCTGGCTGTGTAGATGCTGCTGCGGAGTTGTGTGCATGACACTTTCAGAGGGAAAAGCTAACGCCTCGATCAGGCGTTAGAGTATGCAGCGAGCAGAGGTGCCCGAATAGCTAACAACCAATCAGTGAGTTTCTCCAGTGGGTAAACATGGATCATGGCTACTTACGGAGCATATTTTGATTAATATTGAAGAGTTGGGGGCATGTAAGGCAATAAAAAACTGTGATAAAATAATAAAAATAATTCTATATATGGTAGTATATTGGATAGGACCTAAAACAAAGTGTATGGCA